GTTTTCACTGTAAAGTTCAAAAGTAAAATCCACGTCATTCTGTTTCCCACGATCGGGGTGATATTTGGCCATCAGAATCATAAAGTAAAGGGCTTAGAATGCTGAGCTAACAGCGTGTCTCCACCAGCCATATCTGTGGTTACGTTCATAATGGCGCATTGACTGGCCACCTGCTCCTTGGCCCTGCATTTAGATGTGCATCACAATTCTGACACTTCTATCAGGATGTCTTGTATCCCAGGGCTAAGACATGGGCACAGCCCCTCTGTCCCCTGTTTCCTGATTCCAGGAATAGATGGGACCCACATGATGCCAACATTGACTTGGGCTTTCTCCAGGTGACTGATGTCTGGGGAGCGGTAGGAAAGTAATGCAGCCTCTAAGAAGTCCCCACTGAGCTCTCCAAAGTCAGACCCTGGGACCTGGAGTTAGTGGAGCTTGGAGAAGAGTTGTGGCTGTCTCAGGCCCTCACACCCGACTTCACCAGTAATAGCTGCCCCAGAGGAGCGGGCACTTCTGGATGTGAGAGGGCCAGGAGAAATGATAGCATAGACCCAGAGCAAGATGGGCAAGGGCAAGGCCCCTGCTGTCCTCCCTGTACCCCAAGTGTGTGTGTGTGTGTGTGTGTGTGTCTGTCTGTGAGTATCTGTGCATCCATGCGTGTGCACATGGGGACAGGGGAGTTGTGAAAGGAACTGTTCCATGGAGACCATCTGCTCTGCTGGCTCAAGGAGAATTGCTCATTAATAGTCCCAGGCAGACAATCTAATAAGGAGCATGATAAGGCCCTCCGTCTCCCCGGAGGTGCAGAGGAAATTGGGTTATCAAGGAAGTGGTGAGGGCTCATTTCTCTTGTGCCACTTCTCCTCACGTACGTGCCACTTTGATCCTGGGGCTAGTGGGTGAGGAGTTCCTGCAAGGTGAACCTATAAATAGATGGCTTTGATATTTATGCTAGGAATGTGGATTTCTAAAGCTCTACCAGAGCCACAAGCAGGTGAGCGAGCAGTCGGTCTCTCCAAAGTGCCACCTGTAGAGCCCAGAGCTTCGAGTTCCCTGACCTCCCCACCACCACGTCTCCACCCTACATCAGAAGGGACTGGAGGCCCCGCCCCTCCTGTGTTGTTTCATTCGTGGGAACTCGCCCATGTTTGGTCAGAGTCACAGCAAATGGGTGATCGAGTCACAGGAAGAACCCAGCTTGGTGCTCAATATGCGCCACACTGACCTCTGATAAACCTGCCTTTCAGTTCTTAGAACTCCCTGGAGTAGCAGCTGCGTGTGCATGGCAGAGAGCTGAGTGCTTTACAGACGTTGTTTTCTGTGATTCTCACAGCTAATCTACGAAGTAGGTATTGTCCTTAGCTGACAGATTAGAAATGGGGTGCAGAGAAATAAAGCTGTATCTCCAGCTCCTAAGTGGCAGGGCTAGCATGTGAACACAGCACCTCTTTAATGAGGAGTCTTTTTGGGACACCAGTCCAGAGTTCCTGGTTGCTGCAGGCACAGTGGCAATGGCTACGTCTTCAGAATGAGTCTACAAAAGCTGAACATGACAAGAGAAAAGCAAGCTCTCCAGGGAGGGCCCAGTTGCCCTGGGCAGGGGTCCTCTACAGCCTGCTTTCTCCCTCCCGCCGGGCCCGGCACGAAGGACCTCTCCCAGGTCCTTATCTGAGCCCATCCTTCCTTCTCACCATGGGCTGAGGCCCAGTGGAAAGGCTAGGGAAATGCCGGGCATTCCCCTTGACCACCACCAGCTTTAATGAGATGTTACTGACATATAACATATGTAAGTTTAAGGTGTACAATTTGGTGTATGGTGATAACCTGTAAAGTCTACTCTATTAACAACTTTCAAGTATGTAATGTAGTACAGGCATACCTCATTTTATCGTGCTTCGCTTTACTGCGCTTTGCAGATACTGCGTTTTTTACAAATTGAAGGTTTCTGGCGATCTTGACTTGAGCAAGTCTATGGGCACAATTTTCCCAACAGCATTTGCTCACTTCGCATCTCTGCATCACAGTTTGGTAATTCTTGCAATATTTCAAACCTTTTCATTATTAAATTTTATTGCTAATTTTTTTGTGGTGATCTGTGACCTTTGATGTTACTATTATAATTGTTTTGGGGCCACCAGGAACCATGCCCATATAAGATGGCAAACTTAATGGATAAGTGTGTGTGTGCTGACCGTTCACTAACCGGTTCCCCCGTCTCTCTCCCTCTCCTCGGCCTCCCTGTTCCCTGAGACACAACAGTAGTGAAATTAGGCCAATTAATGACCCAACAATGGCCTTAAAGTGTTCAAGTGAAAGGAAGAGTCGCACATCTCTCACTGTAAATCAAAAGCTAGAAATGCTTAAGCTTAGTGAGGAAGACGTGTCGAAAGCCCAGACAGGCCAAAAGCTGGGCTTCTTGTGTCAAACAGTTAGCTACGCCGTGAATGCAAAGAAAAAGTTCTTGAAGGAAATTAAAAGTGCTCCTCCAGTGAACACATGAATGATAAGAAAGTGAAACAGCCTTATTACTGGTGTGGAGAAAGTTTTAGTGGTCTGGATAGAAGATCAAACCAGCCACAACATTCCCTTAAGCCAAAGCCTAATCCAGAGCAAGGCCCTAATTCTCTTCAATTCTATGAAGGCTGAGAGAGGTGAGGAAGCCGCAGAAGAAAAGTTTGAAGCCAGCAGAGGTTGGCTCATGAAGTTTAAAAAAAGACGCCAACTTTATAACATGAAAGTGTAAGCTGAAGCAGCAAGTGCTGATGTAGAAGCTGCAGCAAGTTTTCCAGAAGATCTAGCTAATTAATGAAGGTGACTGCACTAAACAGCAGATTTTTTATGTAGACAAAACAGCCTTATATTGATGCCTTCTAGGACTTTCATAGCTAAAGAGGAGAAGTCAATGCCTGGCTTCAAAGCTTCAAAGTACAGGCTGACTCACTTGTTAGGGTCTAATGCAGCTATTGACTTTAAGTTGAAGTTAATGTTCATTTGCCATTCTGAAAATCATAGGGCCCTTAAAAATTATGCTAAATTTGCTCTGCTTGTGCTCTATAAATGGAACAACAAAGCCTGGATGATAGCACATCTTTTTACATCATGGTTTACTGAATATTTTAAGCTCACTGTTGAGACCTACTGCTCAGAAAAAAGATTCCTTTTGAAATATTTCTGCTCATCGACAATGCACCTGGTCACCAAGAGCTCTGATGGAGATGTACGATGAGATTGTTGTTGTTTTCATGCCTGCCAACACAGCATCCATTCTACAGCCCATGGACCAAAGAGTGATTTCGACTTTCAAGTCTCATTATTTAAGAAATGCTTCTGGTAAGGCTATAGCTGCTGCAGATAGTGATTCTCCAATGGGTCTTGGTAAAGTAAATAGAAAACCTGGAAAGGATTCACCATTCTAGACGCCATTTAGAACATTTGTGATTCATGGGAAGAGGTCAAAATATCAACATTAACAGGAGTTTGGAAGTTGATTCCAACCCTCTTAGGTTTAAACTTGGGTTTAAGGGGTTTAAACTTCAGTGGAGGAGGTAATTCAGATATAGTAGAAATAGCAAGACAACTAGAAGTAGGAGCGGAGCCTGGAGATGTGACTGAATTGCTGCCATCTTATAAAATTTTAATGGATGAGGAGCTGCTTCTTATGGATGAGTAAAGAAAGCGCTTTCTTAAGATGGAGACTACTACTGGTGAAGATGCTGTGAAGATTGATGAAATGACAACAAAGGAGTTAGAAAATTATATTTAGCTGACAAAGTAGCAGCAGGATTTGAGGGGATTGACTCCAATTGGGAAAGAAGTTCTACTGTGGGTAAAATGCTATTGAACAACATTGCATGCTACAGAGAAATCATTGGTGAAAGGAAGAGTCAATCAATATGGCAAAGTTCATTGTCGTCTTAGTTTAAGAAATTGCCACAGTCACCCCAGCCTTCAGCAACCACCATCCTGCTCAATCAGCCACCATCGACATCGAGGTGAGATCCCTCTACCAGCAGGATTACTGCTCGCTGAAGGCTCAGATGATAGTGATTTTTTTTAGCAATAAAGTATTTTTTAATTAAGTTATGTACATTGTTTTTTTAGACATGATGCTATTGCACATTTAATAGACTACAGTATAGTATAAGCATAACTTATATGTACCAGGAAACCAAAAAATTCATAGGATTTACTTTATTGCAATATTGGCTTTATAGCAGTGGTCTGGACCCGAATCTGCAGTATCTCCGAGGTACGCCTATACTGTTAATTATAATTGCCATGCTGTAAATTAGGTCCCCGGAACTTAACCATCTTATAGCTGGAAATTCGTACCTTCTGACCAACATCCTCCACCACCCCAGCCCCTGGCAACCACTATTCTACTCTGTTTCTTTGAGTTCGACTTTTTTTTAGATTCTACGTATAAGTGAGAACATATAGTATTTGTCTTTCTCTGTCTGACTTATCTCCCTCAATGTCTATCCATGTTGTCACAAAAGGCAGGAGAGATATCTGCAAACCCCATGTTCATTGCAGCATTATTCACAATAGCCAAGGCTTGGGAACAACCTAAGATCAGGCACTCTTTAACTTTCCCTGTGTGTTGGCTGGCGGAGGGAGGGGAGCTCTCAGGCCTGAGGCTGCCTTGCCAGGTGTGCCTTTGCTTATTGCCCCTTGCGGGGGTTTTCTATGTCTTGATGAGAATGGGGCATTGCTTCTGCTCTGGGGAGTTTGGAACAGAGCCCCGGGCTGCTACACAATCCCTCATTGAAATGCTCAGCCTCTAGCCCCCACCACTCTGCCAGCGGAGTCACATGCACCCACCTCCCCCTCATTAGCCCCAAGGAGAACAGCGTGACCTTTAAAGAAAGCAAAGAGTCACCTCATGGACCGAGAGGGTGTGCCAAAAAGTGAGTCTGCTGGCAGCTGGCTCCTCTGTTCCCCTCATCAAGAGACTCAGCATTTTTCTCCTCAGAACCCACAGAGGAGGGCAGTGGTGTGGGAGAAGCACTTCCTCCTCACCATCATCCTAAATAGTGTTGCAGGATGGCCTCAACAACGCGCATGTGCACGTGCACACACACGTGCACACACGCACACACCCTCCACCCTCTGCGGGATGCATGCCAGAAGGCACAGATATCAGACCCAGGGAAAGAAAAGAGGTGCATGAATACAGAAGACTGGGGTACACTGCCCTGCCCCCCCGCAGAACCCATTGGGTGACTTTCCTCTCCCTTGGAAGCGCCTGGCAAATAGTAAAGCAAACAAAATTTCCCTTCTGTGCCCCTGCAGGCTTTATAGAAAGAATGACTTTGAACCTTTTGTGGGTCTTACTCTCAAGACTCACTCACTAACAGCAAGACATCATTAACATCATTCCTGCCACCCTCCACTCCCTCTCTGATGTCTGTCTTCTCGCCCCTGTGACTCTTCCTGCATCCGTTGGTCTTGTCTTAACTCTGCCTTCTCTAAACTGACCCTCTTCTGCTCCCCTAAGCTCCTCTTCCACATCTCACTGTGGTCAAGGTAGAAAGCTTCCAGGTCACCATGGCTCACCAGCAGCCTCTTCGTCCCTCAGGAAGCTCTCACTCTGAAAAAGTCAGCCAGCGGTACCAGTACAGTGTCTGACACCCCCACCAGCATGAAATAAGAATGGTATATTATTTTCTGACATAATCACAAGGAAAAGACATCTTTAAAAGACATCCTTAAAAGTTACAGCAATACATATTCTCTTTTCTGCAGACAAATTTTAACCAAGATATTCTCTCCACAAAGAATATACCATCCAAAACCTTGCATTCAAAGCTTGGTCCACAGACCACCAGCATCTGTATCACCTGGCTGCTTGTCAGAAATGCAGAATCTACTGAGTCAGAACCTGCATTTTAACCAAACCTTCCAAGTGATTTCTATGCTTGTCCAAGTTTGGGAAACACACACACCTGTACATAGGCACGTGCACATCTCAGGTGCAGGTTGGGAAGGTGTGTGCCACCTGCCCCTTTACCCTTTTTGTAAAAAGCATGGAAAGCAGCAGTGGCCTCTGTTTCATCCAGCAGTCAGCAGCAAGATTTCCATAGGACAGCGTATTTCTGCCATGAGCAGAACTATGGAAATTAATTCCTAGAGTTTTACAAAGGATGACAAAGGAGGAGACGAGACTGTGAGGAGAGAAGGTGTTTTCATGTGTGAGAGAGAAGAGGCAGCGGGAGGAGCGGGGCCCGTGGACCCTGGTGGGGCTTTGTCCTGCAGCAGTGGTTCAGATCCACCCCTTGCCTGGCATCACAGCCTCATCCTGGTACCTTTGGCCAAGCAGCATCTGGAGGTGACGGGGGCATCTTCAGAGCCCAGCCTCTTCTGAGCAGCACTGGCACTTTTGACGTTTGAGCTTATTGGGGAATCTTCATTTGGTTAGAAGCTGGTCTTTCCGCTTCACTGCGTGGTTTGGTCTCCCGGGGGAGCTGTCGTCTTCTCTGTGAAGCGCTCACAGGGTTTGTCCGCACTCCGGGCTGGCTCTTCCACTGAGCTCTGCAGCTGGGAGGAGAGAGCGCCTACTCAGTGCCCTCGCCTAGCCGGCCTCGCCCCTCTCCCTGCATGCTGGGGCAGGAGGACACCCGGGTTATTGGTCGTGTGTGATAACTATGTCTTCTTTTCTCTTCTCACAATGCTAACCCATCGGAACTAACAGCAAGCATTCAGAATGAGCGTAAGTTCCCGGGCGCCTTTCTGCACTTGTGCCTCTGGGAGGTAGGAGGCCAAGAAAGAGGGGCGGGAGAAGGCCAGGTGAGAGCACAGAGAGGGGTGCTTGGTCTCTGCACCCTGCCTGCTGGGGCTTCTTGACACCAGAGTCCTTAGTGAGGTCCCTTACCACACGAGAAGGGAAAGGCTCGGCCGATGGCTGTTAAGGCAGAGGAGCAGGTGGGTAAGAAGGACCCTACCATCAGGTGGCTGGCACGGGAGCTCAGGACCCAGAGGGCGGAGCTGCTCTTTGGCCTACAGACGAGTCCCTGGGAAGTTCTCTGGGCACTAAAGCCTCTTTTAGCTCCATCCTCCCCAGTCTGGCCATCTGTTGACCCTCCAGGGCTCAGAACCATCATGGCAGCTAAGTTCTAAAAATCTAGCTGTTTTTTGCTCCTTTATTCATTCAACAAACATTTATTAAGAACTGTTATACCCAAGGACTTATACTAAGCATTGGACTTAAGAATGGGTCAAACAAAAGCTTGGCCTTCAGTTTCTCATGGGGATTCTGTGAGAGCTTACAGGGATTCTTCTCGTGCTTAGTCTGACACGCACCCCCTTTCCTGCACTCTCCAGAATGGGGCACTGCCTACCACCGGCTTGCCTGCTTGTCTGTGTGGCTCCCAAAGCTCTTAATTTCAGCTGTTCCCCAAGCCAGGGACCAGGGCAGGTCCCTGCAGCCCTGACCGCCGACTGTTGGCCCTATTGCAGTGTCCCAGCCCCCAACCATCACCAAGCAGTCAGTGAAGGACCACATCGTGGATCCCCGTGACAACATCTTGATTGAGTGTGAAGCACAGGGGAACCCTGCTCCCAGGTGAGTGTACTGGCAGGGAAATCCAAGCTGGGTAGAAGGAACGGGGCCTGCGAAGAGGACATTTAAGCCGCCCCCTTGTCCTTGAGCCTGGAACAAGCAGAGCCTCCCTCGCCTGATGATAGTTATGGCAGCTGAGAAATTAAATGCTACCCATTCTGAAAAATCACCATTAAGCCGTCACTTGATAGAAAGTACAATTTGGACAACTAGGGAATTTAGCTGATGAGGAAACTGGAGGCCAGAAAACTTAAGTGGCTTAAGTTCACACCGAAAAGGCAGACTAGATGTTAAGTTTTCTGGCTTTCAGTATAATATTCTTCCTACTTACGTTCCCATCATTCCCCCATGCTTTGCTTATAGGAAGCCCCTCTCCCTAGCTGACCTGAGACTCATTCTGGCCTTGTCTCTGGTTATTTATGTGCACATCAGCACCACACGAGGTGGCAGCAGACACGAGTGAAGCCAGCTGTGTGCCAGGCTCTGTTAACACTTGTTCCTCTGTTTAGACTTGTTCCTCACGCTGTCCCGTCAGACCATCTCACTGCCCTTCGGGGAAGGACGTTTGTCCTTGTAAAGTGGAAGTGAAACAGAAGCACAGAGATATTAAGTATCTTTTCCAAGGTCATTCAGCTTGATAGTGGCAGAGCCTGGATTTAAACTCAGGCCTCTGACACCCAGGCCAGGTTGGTTTCTCCTGAACAGTAAGCACTAACCATATGGAGATGGTACGCTATCCAACCCTCATCTTTAAAGCAGCTTTCATGGGCTGGAGCTATCAGGAGCCTCATGCCGGATTCAGATCCAGATGTGACAGGACCCCGTGTCAGGGCTGTGTGTCAGCAGGAGAAATGAGGCAGGGCAGAGCCTCCGGGGTGTGGCAGCCTTCTTTCCCCCTGGGCCCTGGGTTTGCAGGAGCTGCTCTAACTCAGAGCTGTGAGCCCAGAACAAGCAGAGCCTCCCTCACCCATGAGGGCAGAAGCAGGAATCATCCTGAAGGGTCAGGCAGGGTCTGGGTGACCTTGCTTCTGACATTTTGGTCTTTCCCCCAAGGTTCCTTTGTGGGGACAGTGACTCTGTAGCACTGAACAACCAGTACTGTTCCTGCCTGTCGTTAGGTTATATCCTGGGCAGTTAGACACACAGCCCACCAGAAGAAGCAGAAGGGCATTCTGGTCCCTTCACCCTGGGGCTCAGTTTTATGAAGGCTGCTTTTTCTTTCAAAGCTGCACCTCCTGGGCTATAAGTGTGGCCACTGCCTTACAGTCTCCACCCATCGATCAGGGGCACAGATAACCTGAACCATTTCACTTTGGCTTTAGAGTCAGTTATCACGTAAAGAGGCAGGAGGAATAGAGACAGCTCCCCATGCGTGTGGATGGGGTGAAATATGAACTTGTGTTTGCATTCCTAGGTGGAGGTCGGTAATGCCCTGGGGTGGAAGCAATAGCTGACTCTGGATAAAAAATTAAAAGCACTGCCTACTCCAAAGAGCAAATCGCCAGGGGCTACTTGGGTGTCTACTACTTAGAGCCATGACTCCCAGCCTTGGCTGAGTAAAGGTTCTGGCAGGGACCTGCCCCTGGAGATTCGCTGGGTGGAACCGGGGACACAGCATTACCTCAGGCTTCCCAGGAAGTTCTGCCACTCAGCCAGGGCTGGGACTCGGGTGTGAAGGTGTGGTTTGGGGGCTGAGTCAAGGACGAAGGCCCTGAGATTCTCAACTGGAGCCCGGAACCCACCTTGTTACTGTTTGTTGCCCCTGCCTGCCCCCCACTGTCCACAGCTTCCACTGGACTCGCAACAGCAGGTTCTTCAATGTCGCCAAGGACCCCCGGGTGTCAATGAGGAGGAGGTCTGGGACCCTGGTGATTGACTTCCGCAGTGGCGGGCGGCCAGAGGAGTATGAGGGGGAATACCAATGCTTTGCTCGCAACAAATTTGGCACAGCCCTGTCCAATAGGATCCGCCTGCAGGTGTCCAGTGAGTAGCGTGGGGCAGGGGCAAGACACAGTCCTTCACACATGGAGGGGAGGGCAGGAGGGGCATTCCAGAGGGGCCGCCTTTGCCCTTGGCACATTGCAGCCCTGAATGTCCTGCCTCCTTTTCTGCCTCTGAGCAGGGGCTCACCTTCCCCAGCTCAGAAAGATTCCTTGTAAAGGAAGCTTCCAAACCAGAGTCTTGAACAACTTCACCGCTACTGTGGGCACAGGAGGAAGCTGGGCGGGGCGGGGAGCCTTTGAAGATGTGCATCCATTCAGACAAAAGGCCTCACTTAGACTCCTGGGCCCTGTCCTTCTCTCCTGCCTCCCTTGTTCTCCTGTTTCCCTGTCTGCATCTTTGATGCCTGCCTCTGACCCCGCTCCTCTGTGTTTCTCCCCAGAATCTCCCCTGTGGCCCAAGGAAAATCTAGACCCAGTGGTGGTTCAAGAAGGTGCTCCCTTGACGCTCCAGTGCAATCCCCCACCCGGACTTCCGTCCCCAGTCATCTTCTGGATGAGCAGCTGTAAGTCTTAGAGGCCTGGTGTGTTATGTCTCTTTTAGGGAGTGGGGTAGGCATGTTAAATGGGGAGGGCCTAGAACACCTTGACTTGTGAGAAGCAGATGTGAGGTGGCCACATGGCACAGAACACAGGATCTGTAGAGAGAGGCTGCTTGAGCTCGTTTCCTAAGACTGACTGTTGTTAGCTGTGTGATCTTGAGCAAGTTGCTTAACATCTCTGGGCCTCACTTTCCTCTTCTTGAAAAACAGAGCTGATAATTGTACTTACCGAATAGAATTATTGGAAGAATAAATAAACTAAAACATCCAAAGTGCTTATGACAGGACCAGTACACAGTAAGTGCTCAGTAATATTTGTGATGATGAGCAGCAAGAGAAAAAGGAATAAGGAAGAAGAGAAACTGTGTTTTTCAATAGGCCAATTGAAGGCAGGCTGATAACAAGACCCCTCTTTCAATCCTTGGTTGATCTGGATTCACTCTTCTTGTAGGACAGTATGGGGGGATGAAGGAATGAAACCTTTGATAAAGGAGTGATGGGGAGATAAGGTGTTTGGAGCAGGGGGACAGAGCGCCATCATTCAGAGCTTGTCCTGGCCCGGTTTTGGAATGAGACGCATTTAACCGCTCTAGACTTGTTTCCCTCAGAACTTCCTGTGTTTTCAATCAAACAAAAGACAGCGAGCAGGGCTTGGGGGAGCATCATGAAGGTGAAGGGAGGACTGCTATCTGTATATCTTCCTGGCTTCCCTTCCCCGCTTCATTTCTGCCTCCCCTTCCCCCTCCTTCCATTCCTTCTTCCCTTATATGCATCATCTGCCAATCTATAGACCCTCCTGCCTGCCTGCCTATCATCCATCATTTTCTCCATTCCTGAATTCTTGCTAGCCTACTTACAAAAGAGGCTGCCTTGTCCACGAGGCAGCACGTGAGCTGTTTTGCAGAGCATGTGTGGCTTTGTGCCCAATCATTGTCCCTCTTTTCCCTCATCACAGTGCTCATCTGTGGGGAAGGCTGCCTGGCCACAGGCTGGGGTATTGTTTTGTTAGCTAACAGGTCAATCTCTCCCCTCTCACCCCCTGCATCTTACTCATCACCAAGGTGTGTCCATGCTACCTCCCGAGCAGATCTCATGACCCTCCCCCTCTTTCCGTCTTCACTGACATCTCCCCAGAATAGACTACCACATTTCCCTGGGTTGCAATAATTATCCATAACTGGCCTTTCTGGTCTTTCTAAAAACATAAATGCGACAGTTTCATCATATGCTCAAAGCCCTTCATTGGCTCCATCACTTCTGACAAAGCCTGGACTCCTTCCACTGGCACACAGTCCCCTTCCTGGTCTGGTCCCCTCTGCCTCTCCAGTCCTTCACCCGTCTTTGCCCGCTTCCCCCCTACTCAGGTGCTGTCACTTTAGCACAAACTGTTCCTGTTGCTTAAAACCCTCTTAGCTTCTTTCTCTTCCGCCTGGTAAATGTCATGTAGCCTTGGAGCTGCAGCGCGAGGCCCCTAGCGTGGACTGGCTGCTCCTTCCCTCAGCTCATCCGTTCTTATCTGGACTTCCCACTCACCACATTGTATTGCAGTTATTTGTTTATCCACTCTCTCTGCTACTAGACTGCAGGCTCTTTGAGGACAGGACCTGCCTTTCTTATTCATCTCTCTTTAACCCGTATGGAGCACTGTGTCTGCACAGAGTAGGCCTACAGAAAATCTCTGATAAGCATCATTAACCTCGTGCTTTAAGAAATGGTGACTTAGAAAATACTCATGGGGGATAGGAAGGAGTTCACTATGAGTAGTCAGCCTTAGAGGTATACTTTTACAAACCTCATAGCCTGGAAACCTGGCCATTTAAGTTTACATCAGATGCAGTGCTTGAAAGAACATGGATAACATAGGCAGCATTTTCAGCCATGTCATTAATTCTAAAAAGCACACAAAGTTTCATCATTTTGCATCTGTAAAATTGGAAGGCATCCTAAAATTGTTGGTATGTACCGTTAATTGGTATGCATCTTACAATTATAATTAATAATGCTTTTTTCTTTCTTGGCGGGGCAGGGGGAGGTTGGAAAATAAAACGGGTGAATTTGACTCCTGATTTGGGGGCATCTGAAGGATTGTGTCCCCTCCCTCTGGCCTCAGCGCTAGCCAGATCTTTTGTGGCATGAACAGGAGATAGAAAAATCTGGTCCTAGAGCATGGACATGGTGGGCAGGCGGGTCTGAATCTAAATCCTACTCTTCCCTCACCGCTTTTGCAACCAGAACAATTAAGTCCTCTGCTTCCTTATCTGTAAAATGGAAATAAGGAAGTGAAAAAGAAAACCCCCACTTCAGAGTTGAGAGTGAGATTAGACCAAATAAACTGGAACCCCTGGCCCCACCTGGCCCTCTGTAGGTGCTCACTTGCCAGAAACTTCATGATTATTATTACTGTTCCAATTACTGCTAACCTTCCACTGTCCCTCTGCTTCCTTATAGCCATGGAGCCCATCACTCAAGACAAGCGGGTCTCCCAGGGCCATAATGGGGACCTGTATTTCTCTAACGTGATGGTGCAGGACATGCAGACCGACTACAGCTGCAACGCCCGCTTCCACTTTACCCACACCATCCAGCAGAAGAACCCCTTCACCCTCAAAGTCCTCACCAGTAAGTGCAGGCCTCTGCCCGGGGCTGGGGGCAGAGTCCACCTGGCTTGAGCGGCCCAGGCACCTGGGTCTGGGGAGAGCATGGTTCCCAGGACTGACCTAGAAATCCTTCCAGCTCACTGAGCCCAAGCGACTTCAGCTTCCCTTATGCCACATCTCCTGATTCTTTGCCTTGAGTTCAGTTTGGCTTTTCTCAGACTTTGGTGGATATTAGAATCATCTGGTGAACTTGGCACCATCCCCAGGCCCAGCCTTATCCCGCCTCGTTCTTCTTCATTAGCTCCCAGGGGATTTGGACACTGCAGAATTTGAGAAGCACTGCTTTAAGTGGCCATCCGGCATCCCTCTCATGTCTTCAGCTTGATTATTATTTTTTATTTCTAGTCATTGTTTGATTATCTTTATTTCTAGAATAAAGCCACAGCATGGAATATCCAAATTCGTAGGAACACCTACGTGAGTTGTATTTGATTCTGTGAAACATACGTGCTAGACCATATGGAATCGCTGTGTGTACAAGTTGCAGATTTATGTTTAGTTTTATTTTTGTTTTTACCTTGATTCTGTTTGGTACCAAAGCAGATCAGCATTTCCTGACCCATTATAGCGTTGGTGACTGTTTACAAAGGAGAGAGAGAAGCCAGTCAGTCCAGAGACACACTTCTTTCCAGGGACCCGCTGACCTGGAGCTTTGGCTGCAAAGCTCTTAGCCTGCTCAGGACATTGAAAGTGGCTCTGCCGGTTTACACAAAAACTTATAGCATGCTTTCCACATAAGAGCCCCCATCCCCAAAGACTTTACTCTGTCTAACTCAGCTGTGTGAATGTTTTCAATGCTGTGGACAGTGGCAATTGTGGGAGAGGCCAGGCAAAGGCCACTCCATGGGCACTGGCAGCTTCCACAGGTCAGAAAAGAGGCTGAACTCTGGTTTCTAGGAGCCCACATGCAGGTGGTTGATGATGCCTCCTGGGGGGACATGGGAGGCAGGGGAGAGGCTTGGATGAACTCATCCTCACTCAGGACAAGTGGGGCCTGACCCCCTCGGGCTGTCTTCTTTCCTCATTAGTCCCTGGCCGTGATGAAAATAGGCCGTGCTGAGAGCCAGCCCATGGCATCGAGGTGGATCCGCAAGAAGCAGCTTCCTTCCTGTTCCCCTTCTGCTATTGTGGGGTTTTTTTTCCTTTCTCTTTATTTTCTTCCCTTTTCTTTTTCACTTCCTTTCTATTTCTCCTCCCTTTTTCTTACTTTTTCTTTTCCTCTCTCTCATCTTCTCTTACTTTGACCCCATTTTATCTGCCTCTAATCCTCCCTCTCCTGCCTCTGCAGGTCCTCCACACACTCTTCCGAGCTACCCTTAATTTGATAGCCAACAGGTTGGCCAGAAACTCAGGGACAGTTCCTGCATGTTCCTGGCAGGGGCACCAAGCTTCAGTCTGCTGGCTGCCCCCTCCCTGGCTTTCTTATTCTGGTCCCAGGCCCAGAGAGGAGCCCCGGAGAAGAAATTTGGGTTGTCTGAGGTGTCTCCTCAGTGCACGTCAGAGGCGACTGCCTGCCAGCTGGCCAAGCTGGGGAGGACAGCGTGGTCTGCCCAGAACCTCAGAGCAGCCTTCGAAGCCAGGACAAGGCTGGCAGCATCGGGCCATGGGAGGGGCAGGAATGTCACAAGCAAGATGCTCACTGAGTCGATCCCTGGATGGCCCGCAGTGCCATCACCTGGATCCCTTTCTGCCTGCTTGAAAGAGGCTTGAAGTCAGCTTACTGTTTGGGGACTGAGTTGGGTGACTGTGTTGGGCAGAGACCTCCACTGTCACACAAGATAGAGGCAGGGAGATGGAGGTGGTGAAGAGCCTTCCTCTGTGGAATTAAGCAGCTAGAGATGTCAATCATATTTAGAAGTTGGACTTTCCAGAAACATCCTTTTGTCTCTGGTCAGGGATGTTGGTTTCTGCTCCATTTCTGGGTCCCCTGCTCCACTGAAAACTGCTCCAAATGCTGAGACACCCCTGGGTGCTGGGCACAGAAGCTTTTCAGCTTCCTGGACTCTCCCAGAGGCGGCTTGGACCTGGAGCAGGTTCTGGCGTCTGCCCCCTCTCAGATTTGGGCTCAGTTGCTTAAAATTGCACAGTGCTGCTCCCCATACTTCCCTGCCTGGAAAGGACACAGGCTTTTCCTTGCACCTTCAGAACCAGGTCTGGAACTAGGAGGGCAAACAGCCAAGTTGGGACAGCTTCCAAAGACTCTGTTCTCACCAGTTTGCCCATTGAGGAAGAAATAAATCTCACCACAGCCATTTTGTATTTCTTGCATTAAAGGAAGGGGAGAAAGGTATCTAACATAAAATACTGGGCAATCTAAAATCATTTTTAAATTTGTTTTGGGAGGTCAGTGAAAGACAGACAATGGAGTCGGGCTAACAAAGACATGTCTGCCCCACTTTGCCTACGCCGGAACAGGTTCCAGTCCCTCCTGGTCCCTCTGCCACAGCAAGAGGCAGTGTAGTAAGGGAGGAGGGTTCTCCCTGAGGCAAAGGAGCACTAACCCTGCTTCCTTCTAATGTCTACTGTCTAAATGATGCTCATAAAGGAGCCAGAAGTTCTCCCTGAATTTCTTAGATGTGCTCCAGAATTTACAAACTGTGAGGTCCAGTCCGAGCTCAGGTCACTTCTCTGGAAAGAGATAGGTTCTATTTCACCTGAGCATGAAAAAGGCCCCATCATCTGTGTGCACCCCTGTCCTCTCCCTGGAGAGGGGCATTACCTCCTGAGTCCAGCCGTGGTCTCGCCTACCCTTTCCCACTGCCTCTTCATTCACTTGCAGTTCAGTTCTCACCCTTAGCTCCAGATAAACCCAAGATGACTTCCCAAACACAGGCTAAGTCTTTTACCACAAATCCCATCTTAAAGGATAGTTCTGATTACTGAAAATCTTCCTACTGAGTGTTATGCAGATTTGGGATTCATTGCAATGCAGTCCCAGAAAAGAGCTCTCCATAGCCTCTGCAGTCAGTGGTACAGGATTTGAGCTGTCTTCAGATATGCAAATGCCCGGGCATAGCGCCTCTCCTCCCTCGAGCAGTTGGACCGTGTTCTGGGCTTCTTAGGGCTGTCTGCTTGGCTTCCAGTCAGCTGTTCCACCACCCCCGCCGCCCCCCACCCTAGGTACTGTCAAAACTCGAACCCAATAGCTGGAAGTAGACGGTGGTAGAAGAGGGAAATCTACTTAAGGATGTTGGCATGATTATGTGCCCTATTGCAAAATGTCTTTCTCACTGTGGGTTTAATGCCCAAGGGCTTTAATTACCTACTGTTGGAACCGAGACCACTGGTCTTGCTCCTTAAGGAATGTCTTCACCCCAAGACAGTCTGGAGAGTTCTGATCTCCAGCTAGTCAGCCGGCCTTTCCCAGTCCCTAGTGTAGAACTCACAGCGTTGGTGTGGCACG